CTGTTCAGAATACAAATCCAGGCTCTGTCTCGCTGGATTGTTGTAATTAAACTTTGTGCTGAACTAAACTTTACATTAAACAATGTTAAACAGGTAAGAAAAGGATCCGATCAATTTGTTTTTGCCTCATTTACAGAAATGGAGATAACAGCGTAGTGTGCATGGCACTGGTGTTAATCAAGTTTAATGTTCCTGTTTGCAACAATCTTCACAAGAAGGCAAAACCGTTAAATGACAGGGTTCACACTGACTGGATATTTCCCGTATTTGATCATTTATTTTGACGGAGAAACCTCAAGCCTGCAGATGCGCAGATATTTTTATCGTTACGCACATTGCGGAGGTAGCTACATCAATCAAGAAAAGATTCCCATCAGAACATCTGAGCTGGACACTGAGCTCCGTGCAGCTCACTGTCAGCGCACACGTAAGGTGCTGACAACGAGCTGAAGATGTGTGTAGATCGGGGGCTTAGAGCGCGTTGCAGAACCAGAGCCATGCGGGGAGGTTCCTCTCACTGAAGCGAGTGTTCTCCAAACCCTGTCTCTCAGAGAGACTTGTCACTTAGAAAATGTTCCCTGATTATGAAACTTTGGCTGAATAGCGCTTGTTCCTGTCTCCAACGTAGCGATGCATCCATGAGCCGTCTGAGGAAAAGTCCAGAATCTCACATCCTCTTCAGCTCAGAAAGCTCCTATAGAGATATCTGATTACGCACACGCAGGTGACCTGTCAACTGTTGGACCTGTTGAGGTTTACGCAGACTATCTTTACATTTAGAATTGGCACACAGATAAAAATAAATGCAGTAAAATAAAATATATTTTAACCATGCTTGAACCATCAAGCTCCTCCATATCTGTGTGAACTTGTCCATTACTACAACCCGCCGCGTGCTCTCAGGTCTGAAGATAAGCTCCTCCTAGCTGTTCCGAATGCACGTTTAAAAAGCCGTGGAGAGAGGGCTTTCTCTGTCTGTGCACCGAAGCTGTGGAACGCATTACCACTGCTAGTGAGGCTAGCACCAACAGCTAGCATTTTTAAATCACGCTTGAAAACTCACTACTTCAACCTAGCTTATACAACATAATTATGAACCTCACTTACATCTGCATTGTTTAAAAATGGACTCTACAATATCAACTTCCGTACTATTGAGGTTCTTTTTTAAAATGTTTTTCTAATTTTTTATTCTCCCTGTGTCTTATTGATTTTTAGCTGTTAGTTTTGGGGAATTTTGTTGTATTTCCTTTTTATCTTTTATCTGTGTTCGACATGTTTGTATACCGCCGGTTTGATTAACTAACATCTTTAGTGTACAGCGCCTTGTTTGGTTGTAATGCCTTGTGAATGCGCTTTATAAATAAAATTGGATTGGATTGGATTGGAATTAAATATTCATTAATTGTATTACAAGCAGAGAGCCGCATCAGATGGATGAAAGAGCCGCATGCGGCTCCAGAGTGCATTATGGGTAGCCAGCTTTCCAGTTTTATGTTCTTTATTGTGCGTTTTATTGCAGGGTTGTGTTTGATGTTTTCAGTCGTTTATTCAGTAATATGACTGTGCTTTTTTGTTGGTTTTAATTTTGCACCACAAGTGAGTTATATTCCAACAAATGGCATCGTGGTGCCGTTCTATTGATTGGTGAAGCAGTGTGCTGCTTCCTGTGTGCAAGGAAAGTGTGCGTTGATTGGTCAAATACGTTATGCAAAGTTGATCTTGGCTCCTCCTCTGTTATGTTTTATTTCCTTTACTCAGGATTATCCTAAGCAGAAAAAAATCAGAGTAAGGGATAAAATAACGCAGAATGGCTTGGACAAATAACTTTAATTTGATTACTAGTATGGAAATAGTAACGCGTTAGATTAGCCGTTACCAAGAAGTTACCAAGAAATTACTTTATATTAGAGTAACGCGTTACAAAGTAATGCGCTACTGGCATCACTGGTCACCGGGGTATGGATGACGCTCTCTGCAGCGGAGCGCGTCACTTGTGGATAAGAAACAGAAAGTAACAGTGAATATGAACGGACATGAACTATTGTGTTAATTCAAAGTTTTTGGTGGCGCCACTTTGAGACTGTTCCATGTGCAGCACACAGCTGCCTGGAGCGCAGCAGCAGTCAGCGCTCTCCGCTCAAAATAATCACCAGTGCGCTGAAAATCCATATAAATAATGTGGCGTTGGTAGAAACTGGATCTTTTTACGGGCTCCTCTCAGGTGTGTAAGTTGAGGGCTTCCAGCTCCCCCGTAATTCAAACCCCGCTCCTGAATGAAAAACCGGACATTTTCATCAATATAGGAAACCCCCTTGGACTCCCGGGACAGAGTGGACATGTCTGGGGAAAAGAGGACGTATGGCCACCCTAATGGACAGAAATGATGGGAAACATGGGTTTAGAGGTGGTGAGAGCGTGAAGAGGTGAAGAATGAGGGACACATTTGTCTGTGTTAAAAAGTCTCTGAAATACAACAAACACAATATAAACACAATAGTAAATGCATTATCTTGATATATATCCTGATACATGACTAGATACCCCATAAAAGCGCTACGCTCTGTTGTCCTGGCAGGGAATTGCTTTGCAACAATCCCCAGGTGACAGATAAGTACGAAGACGAAACGTCTTCGTTAACATGTGTGCGTCTCTCCCTCACAGAGCTGACGCAGAAGCATAAATCCTATTATTGCTTAAAAATGTCTTGCAGCAAACATTTTCTCAGACCGCCCTATTTTTCTCATCTTTCCTGTCTTTTATCACTGCTTCCTGTCTGAGCTCACAGCCTCAAAATGCAGTTCCCCGGGGTCCCAACACTCCTTTTTTCATTTATGGTGTAGACAAAAAAACCCAAATGGAATTCCTGTGGTATCTCGCTCGAGCCATCTCTGTAACGTGTGACTTTATTCTCTCTGAATCTGAGTTAATGTGCCAGATTTGGGTGTGTGAGTCTGACTTCCTTTGTTTGGATGCTCCAGGACTCTCGTTATCCCATTAGATCTTAGGTAATTGAGTCTCGCGGCTCACTCAGCCAGCGGTGACATCAGTTGCGTTCTGACAGCTCCGGTGTTAATTATGCTTAACAGTGTGGATGCAGCCAGCCTCACTTAGCCTTGCAGGAACGTGCTTAAATGAAAACGCCGCACAGCCCAACCAGCATGTGGAAATGACAGGCTGTCTGTGGTTTAGCACAGCAAGCTTTTTTACTGCAGTACTTAAAACCTTCTTACCAGAGCTGCCTCGGCAAAGCTTTTCCTCAAACCCTCAAGTGCTGTCTTTTTTTCTTTTTTGTTTTAATGCTGCCAGGAGTTTGTAGGGCCTGGGAGTGGGGAAAGGGGACTAACAAGTCGCATAAAACTAAAGGAAATTAAAGCTTAATAGTTTCTGGAGAGGCTGTGGCGCAGTGCATTGGTGCCTAAATGCAGGAGGCATGTGGAGTTGGAGACTAAACCGATAAGTTTAAGCTTAAATTGGTTTTACTACACGTATGGATGGACTGATAGATGACTAGTAGGATGAGAAACAGGTTCAGGTGGGCCTGTGTTAAAGAATCTTGTGTGTTTTTGAGCCTTTTGGAAAACATGACATCCCAGTGTATCGTGTGCATCTGTTATTGGGTGTACTGGCCACCTACCTGAGCGGTGAAGACATCGAAGGGAGAAAAACAACCTCTCACATACTTGAGGAATAATTTGCCATTGTAACTGGATGATGTTATGCATTTTAGCTTCATCTTGTGCAAAGAGCAGCAGATCCAAACGTGTAAGACTTCACACGGACTTGTAGAAGGCCTCATTAGAAGATGTTCTTGCATCTTCAGTGTTTAGTTTAATTGTCTGATCCGCTGTACGGCTTTTCCTCTTCATGTATTGTCATCCTCTCTCTAGAAGCAAAGTCTCAATGCTCCACATCACTTAAACTTCTGCTTTTAACATCTGTATCTGATGAGCTGCTTCCCCGCCCTTGTCTGCGAGACTCCCCACAGAAAAAGATATCCTGATGCTGTCCAGCTCAAGGAGCCGTTGTGTGGATGTTGTTGGATCCAGACAGCCCGTCTCACAGGGATTATTGTGTGGGGAGTAGCCTCCTGATGCTGCTGTTCACATCAGATCCCAAGTCGCCAGGCTGGCAGGGTTTACGTGGAGGGCTCTTGCAGCATTTTTCCTACTGTTATGTCACCATCCCTGGCCTCTGGAGAGGCTGCAGGGCCAAAGGAAGGACCGGGTTCCCCTTTCACTGTATGTGTGGTCTCAGTCTTTACCTCACTGTCGAGGACAGCCGAGGGCCAGAAAGAGCTCAGCCTGGTACCTTGATAATAACAAAGACCTGTTTGTGTGTTGATGGAATTCTCTGTGATCAAATTCCAAAATCGCCACTCGTCGTCTTGAACAGGCAAAGCAAAAACACTGCTGCTGCTGCTTTGTATGGCCAGCGTTAGTGGAGAAATCTTCCTCTAATAAACTTTAAATGAAAGTCAACAGATGATAAGTGACACATTTTCCAATAAAAACGTCTTAAATGTGAGGATTTTCAACCTTTCTGCAGGCTGGGTGGATTTATTGCTTTGGTTGTTTGGAACACTGTTTATTTGAACTTAGTGGAGGTAATGTGTTGTGGAGTGGTAATTATATTTTTTTGCATTTTAAACTTTATTTTATACTTTAAAAAAATCCAGATATGTTATAACCCTTCCCATAATACCGTAAAACCAACACTAAAAAATAATGTTATGTTAAGTTACCATCATTAACAATTTATTGTTCTAAATTCAGGATAACTCTTCTGCATAACTTGTTGTTTTTGTTTAGTTTATTCAGTCACTAATCAATCCTCTCTAAGCTCTGACTGAATATGGACTTTTTCTCTGTCTCATCTGCTCTCCCCTAGCTCCTTTCCATTTCCTTCTGTGCGACCTCAAATCAGACTGCCACATACGTCAGGAAGAAGTGCCCTCGGTCGGCTGTGTGTGTAATCTGGATTTCTTGTATTGTTTTCAGGAGCTATCAAGCTGTGGCTGGAACAAGAAGGAGAAGCACAGCTCTGCTCCAAATGTTGTGGCCTTCACCCGCAGGTTCAATCAGGTAAGAAACCGTTTACACCCAAGGCTCAGGGCAGTCTCAAGACTCCTCCAGAAGGAAAGAGGCACATGAGCCTCAGCTACTGAGGCATGAAGAGATTATGGCTCCTCTTTCCATTGTGCCCCCTTCCTTCATTCTCTACATTACCAATCATGACACTGCACACAGTTCTTCCAGACGAGGTTGTTTTGAGCTTGTGATGTTGTGACATCAACAGGAAGTTTTGGGGGGGATATTCATGGGGCAGCCGTGCCCGTGGATCCCCTTCTGCTGTTTTTTGCCAACCTTCTTTCAAACCCACTAGTGCCCCAAAGTGTATCATGGGATGATCTAACAAGAATGTGTTGCTGTGGAAATGTTTTCATATATTGCAGATTCCAAACGATGATTCAAGATGCTCGCTGCACACATTCGGCTGCTGTTAGCCAAGGAAAATGAGCTTTCTGGAGAAAAAGAAGTTTGCCTGCCAGAGCAGAGAGTCCCAGAAAGCCCCTTCACATGAACTGAAGCCACGTTCTTCTTTCCTTCATTGCCGGTTTTGTTACGGCTCTGCTTAAGGAACCGATGATGAAAAAATATAATAAAATCTATCTTCTGGCCCCTCAGTTGAACACTTTGTGATGGAATCGACGTAATCTATTGAGACACATAGACAAGTTTCACTGTTTTTATAGGGGTCCAATAAAATAAACCCTCAGGGCTAAATGAGAACGAGTCTGTTACTTCCACACACTTAATGATGCACTGCGAGTGTCAGCACAGCAGGGACAAGAGCCCATCGCTCCATTTTAACTCGGATTTGAATTTTCCTTCCTTCCTTTGTGTCTCTTAGACCTTTAAACTAGCTATTTGTATTATTGGGCTTTTGTTGTCTTTGCTTATCTGTGGTTATTGAAACTCTGGGGCCGTGGAGCTCCACATTTAAGCCTTAATATACTTTGAGAAACTCCCCTGAAGACATCATCTTTAGCTTAGGACATAAAACTGTAGATGGCCTATAAAAACAGCTCCCTCCGTGCAAAGCCCTCTCTCAGCCGCTCGTGCGTTGGTGAATGCATCTACTGTATTAGCAGCACTGCTGTCATAAGTGATCTCATTGCTGCTCAGTGTTTTAGAACAAGGCTGCATGTGTCACATGAGCCCACAGGTTTGATTTTAGAGATGTCGTCCATACTGACCTCAGATATCTAGCTGGAGCGCAGATGAAACTACAGGAGAAGTAGCTGTCGCATTTGTCACGGTTCTGTTTTGTGGAGATTGAAGGGAAAGTGTGAGCTGCCTCCTAATGGGAGGCTGCTACCCTAACAGGAGATTAAAGCAGAATTTAATCAGAGTCAGAGTTTTCCATCTGTGTGTTTCCTGTTTTTCCTCAGATTTTAATTATTATCTTCGTGTGAAATGGTGAAAATGAAAACCAAATGTCTCTTTTTCTTGTCTTTTCTGTGAATACACGTCTTAGTTTGATCTTAGTCAGGCGTCCGTATCCTGTTTTTTAGAAGACAGAATCGATGGATGAATTTGACCTCCTCAGCCGCTGACTACTTCTCACCTTGTCCCCGAAACAAAAACAAGGATTTAGTGCTTTTCCTGGAAAACGTAGGCTAAGACGGAGAGGCTGGAATGTGTGCACATTAATATTGTTGAGGATAAGCTGTTAGGAACAGAGACGATTTTAATCTAATCACTAAAAGAAAGCACCTCGTGTTCCAAGACTTTAGTGACTTCATATCAGTTGGTTTGGAAAGAGAAGGATGTGCAGTTTAGACTTTGTAAGACACTGAAAAGCGCATGTACTCAGAACATAAAGTCCACACAGCTGCAGGCTGCGAAAACCTTTAAAGCCCTGCAGCACTAAAGCTAACTGTCCTTCCCACTGTCCTTCACTCTTCTTCTCTTCCCTTCTTTCCATTCCTTCCATCCCAAGAGCTTAAACTGATTGATTCACTGAGTTGTCTGAATGTAGGATCAGAACTTCGTCCTGCCAGCAGTTTCCCTACAGAGACACGTTTCCGACATTACTCTCAGTCTGGCCAACTTCTCAGAACAAACGTGTGTGTATCTGAGGTCCATTTTTGAAAGAGGGAAAAGACATGTCAGTATTTGTAGTGGACATGTCCACCAGCTGAAACGGTCTGTAGATTCTGACCTAAAGGGCTTGCTTTACATCAAGATCTAATTTCTAATCGACTGTAATGGAGCATTAATGTTATCAGTCTGTTTTTAAGAGTGTTGCTTTGCTTTGTCAGTTTCAGCCCAGATTGTTATGGCTTGCTGCAATTCTGGCTCTTGTCTCAAAAGTCTTGAGATTTAATGGAGAACATTCTCTGCTGTTATGTTCAGGAATTCCCACTTGTGTTTTTGAGACTCAGGCATGTGATCGTATCTCCAGTCTGTTTTGGAGGGATTATTAGTGTTGCCTGGAGCTGTAATCCAGTTTTGTGTCTTCTAGACTAGTTTCTGGGTGGTACGAGAGATTCTCCATGCTCAGACGTTGAAGATCAGAGCTGAGGTGCTGAGTCTGTATATTCGTACTGCCAAGGTACACAAGCTCACCCACTGTGTGACATTTGTGCTGTATTTCCCATATATATTTGCAGTCCTAACCTTGTGTTTAATGTCCTTTAGAAACTGTGTGACATGAACAACCTCCATGCTGTCATGGCAGTGGTGTCAGCGTTGCAAAGTGCACCCATCTTCAGACTTACTAAAACATGGGCGGTGAGTATTTTTTACATCAGTTGTAGTGCACAGGGATTTTCATCCACCTATCCATTATCTATGTGTCCAAAGCTGATTCACAGAGGTAACAGGTTCTCGTCCTGTCAGTACTCCCCAGCTCCCCCCAGGGGATCCCAACGTGCATAAGCAAAGATGAGATCCTGTGGTTTCAAAACCAGACACCCTCCTCCCCACCACAACACCTTGATATCTTCTCCATGAACACCACAAAATCCAACCCATGCTGGGAACAAAGTTGACCTGGTGCACTAGGACTCAGAAACAGCTCTTCTCAAGATCTGGTCTATTGTTCCACGACCAGTATGAAAGCCTCCCAGTTCCTCCTGATTCAGAGGTTCAGCTGTCAATTAGAGCCTCCGGTCCGGCATCCTTGAGTGAACTTTCCAGGGAATTTCATGACTATTATTCAGGAGAACTTTATTGTGTTTTTCTCTTTTATTTCATTTTCAATGAAATATCCAGCTCCTCCATTCTGAGCTGATTACATACAGGAAGCATGGAGGCAACAAGAGAGGAGAAGTGGTTGGGTGCCAGATTGCGGAGGTTGTGGCAGAATGAGACCATTGGGGAGGAAGCAGTGGACCTCCCTTGTAGAGTCGTGCTGAAATGGATGAAGTAATGATCGGAAAGATGCAGCGGTGTGACACAGATTGTGTCTATGGCACAATTCTGGTGAAAATGAGTTCCATGTGCTTTTCCAGCTTTGTGAGTTGGAGGAGTTTGTACTAGTTTTAGATCAAATGATGACATTAGTGACGAGCTGGGATTGTCCAGGTGAATATTCATGTCTCCAAGGACCATTGTGGGACAGTCTTGTTCAGGAATGGAGGAGAGCAGGGTGTCGAGTTCATCAAGAAAGGCTACGAGTTGACCTGGTTGGCGATATGTGACGACCAAAAAGAAGTTTTTCGGTACAGTTGCCTAGATGGCATGGTATTCGTGGTAACTGCCGATTGGCAGTTCCAAAGTCCCATAGACAGGTGGGTGTCTTCGGGGGCAGTTGGTTTTAGCGAGCGGAGGTTTTGAAGGTTGCGAAAGCGGTTTGCTGTGTGTGACCTTCCTCTGAAGCCAGTGATCACAGGTATAGGATAATGGCACATTTTGCAAGGTGTCGATGGAGCAGCGTCTGGGTCGAGTTTGTTTGCTCTGTGGACACGCGCAGGTAGACACGCGCAGGTAGACACGCGCAGGTAGACACGCGCAGGTAGACACGTATGTCTTCACACCGGAGGGGCTGAGACACAAGGGCTGACGCTACAGTTATGCCACCAAACGTATGCTGTGCTACTAGTTGGAAACAGGTGTTCATGCAGCAGCTGATTGCAATGGTTGAGACCTAGATCACCTGATGAGTGTTTTCAGGGAGGGGAGAACCCGCTCGTTCACAGCCCCTGATTGCACTTATTGTTTTCAGTTGGCCCAAACCGGAGCTACTAGACAACAGGATTACCCACAGATGAGTTTCCTTCTCTTTCCCAATGGAAGATGGTGCAAAGCAAAAGTTTAAGAAGACAAAAACAAGCACTAACAGACACTCAAGGCCCTGCGGTGCAGATTCAATAGACTCCTGGGTGGGAGCTGGGTCAAAGATCAACCAAAATTCCTGATGCAGGGTTTTGTGTGGGAAGCAAGCTTACAAAGAGTTTCTCTGACTTTGGGCACTAGCTGGTTCCCAGTTCCCAGTTTTAATAGAGTCTAAGCAGGTGTGCAACAGATGCAGCTTAGACATCTCATGGGGCTTAAAGGAGATGTAAAGTTAAATGTTATCTGCATAAAGATGTGAGGAGATTCCTTTAAAAGAGCTCAGGATGTGCTGGAGAGGGAGTAGATGAAGGAGGAACAGTAGAGGCTCCAGCTCTGAACCTTGCGGAACACAATGGGTGAGGGAGGTGGAGGAGGACCGAAACTTGGAGACGGCCTCAGAGAAGTAACACTTAGACAGATAAGAAAGAACCACCCAGAGCAGTTCCTGAAAGGCCTACCCAGTTTCTCAGTCTGTCTAGTAGTAGGTGATGGTCAACAGTGTCAAAGGCTGCAGTCAGGTCCAGCAGAACCAAAACAGAACATTCCCCTGCATCACCGTGAGCCAGAAGGTCATTATAGACCTGTTAAGACACCCTCAGTAAAATGAGCTCCACTGAAACCCGAATGTAAATGATCATAGCTATGTTCATCAAGAGCAGCTGAGAGTCGTTTAGCCTCTGATGTAATTGTCAACATTCTACACAAAGTAAAACACTGACTTTGTGCTGTTTTGCAAACAAACACTCATGTTATGCAGCAAGTTCCTGTTCATTACAGGTGCTGGCCAGTAAATTAGAATATCTTCAAAAGGTTGAAAATATTTCAGTAATTCCATTCAAAACGTGAAACTTGTACATTATATTCATGCAATGCACACAGACCAATGTATTTCCGATGTTTATTACGTTTAATTTTGATATTTATAGGTGACAACCAATGAAAACATCAAATCTGGTATCTCAGAAAATTAGAATATTCTAAAGGCCAATGAAAAAATGTTTGTTTCTCTAATGTTGGCCAACTGAAAAGAATGAACATGAAAAGAATGTGCATGTATAGCACTCAATACTTAGTCGGGGCTCCTTTTGCCTCAATAACTGCAGTAATGCGGCGTGGCATGGACTCGATCAGTCTGTGGCACTGCTCAGGTGTTATGAGAGCCCAGGTTGCTCTGATAGTCGTCTTCAGCTCCTCTGCATTGTTGGGTCTAGCGTATTGCATCCTCCGCTTCACAATACCCCATAGATTTTCTATGGGGTTAAGGTCAGGCGAGTTTGCTGGCCAATCAAGGACAGGGATACCATGGTCCTTGAACCAGGTGCTGGTGGTTTTGGCACTGTGTGCAGGTGCCAAGTCCTGTTGAAAGGTGAAGTCTGCATCCCCATAAAGTTGGTCAGCAGCAGGAAGCATGAAGTGCTCTAAAACTTCCTGGTAGACGGCTGCATTGACCCTGGACCTCAGGTAACAGAGTGGGCCAACACCGGCAGATGACATGGCACCCCACACCATCACTGACGGTGGAAACTTTACACTGGACCTCATGCAACGTGGATTCTGTGCTTCTCCGCTCTTCCTCCAGACTCTGGGTCCTTGATTTCCAAAGGAAATGCAGAACTTGCTTTCATCAGAAAACATAACTTTGGACCACTCAGCATCAGTCCAGTCCTTTTTGTCCTTGGCCCAGGCGAGACGCTTCTTGCGCTGTTTCTTGTTCAAGAGTGGCTTGACACACGGAATGCGACACCTGAATCCCATGTCTTTCATGAGTCTCCTCGTGGTGGTTCTTGAAGCACTGACTCCGGCTGCAGTCCACTCTTTGTGGATCTCCCCCACATTTTTGAATGGGTTTGTCGTCACAATTCTCTGCAGGGTGCGGTTATCCCTAGAGCTTGTACACTTTTTTCTACCACATTTTTTCCGTCCCTTCGCCTGTCTGTTAATGTGCTTGGACACAGAGCTCTGCGAACAGCCAGCTTCTTTAGCAATCACCTTTTGTGTCTTGCCCTCCTTGTGCAAGGTGTCAATGATTGTCTTTTGGACAGCTGTTAAGTCAGAAGTCTTCCCCATGATTGTGGTGCCTTCAAAACAAGACTGAGGGACCTTTTAAAGGCCTTTGCAGGTGTTTTGAGTAAATCAGCTGATTAGAGTGGCAGCAGGTGTCTTCTATATTCAGCCTTTTCAGAATATTCTAATTTTTTGAGATACCAAATTTGGAGTTTTCATTAGTTGTCACTTATGAATATCAAATTTAAATGTAATGAACATTGGAAATACATTGGTCTGTGTGCATTGCATGAATATAATGTACAAGTTTCACGTTTTGAATGGAATTACTGAAATATTTTCAACCTTTTGATGATATTCTAATTTACTGGCCAGCACCTGTATGTTGCATCTGCCAGCATTCAGGTACATCACGGGTGATGAGACAGTGTTTGATTAAGTTTTTTTTATTCAATAACTAAACACTCCTCTTTCATTTGGTTGTTTGTTGTCTCCTAAGAGGCACTGCTCCCATCAAATGTTTAATAAGTTTACTGAAACTTTTTTTTTCCTGATTCCAATTTTGGCTCCTAGTTACTAAGTCGAAAGGACAAGGCAACGTTTGATCGTCTTGACTACCTGATGTCCAAAGAAGACAACTATAAACGTCTGAGGGATTTCATAAGCAGCCAGAGCATGGTCTCATGTATACCATACCTTGGTAAGAGAGACTCCACTCTGATCTTCAGATCGTACTCCAATAGCTACACAAAACCTTTACATGCTTACATAATTTACATTTAACTAAACATACTAGTTCTTCATGTGTGTCCGGTACTGTCATCTTATGAATTATTTAGTACGTCATTCATTTTTGTGGTTTGTTTGTTTTTCCAACTCTTTTTCATTTTTCCCAGTCAGCTGTTTGTTATGCTGTGGCTTTTGCCTCTTTGTGCCACATCGCTCACTGTCTGGGATTAGAATGTTGAACATAAACTTGCTTCTCTTTTAAGAAATGACTTTCACTGGGAACAAACATAAAACCTGCACCAACAAACATAAACTTTACCCCTTATATATAAAGCTCTTAGTTTTAGCTCAGTGTGACATCACACTGGAATCCCTGATGAGTTGAGGAAGGAAAATGCTCGTGCCCATGTGTGTGGTTTTACTGCTGTACTGTTTGTTCTTGTTTTGACTTGAGGATGACTAGATGACTTTGATGTTCTTTAATGCTAAACTTTTTTATTTCATGCCATCGGGCTCATTTCATCGCTACTGCTGTGTGATTTGAGCATACGTATCTAATTATGAACAAGCACAGATGCGAGCACGAAGGCTGGGAGTATGAGTGGGATTTTGTTGTTACAGAAACTTTCACGTGCCCATTTTCCATCATGGAAGGGAAATGATGGCAGACAGAGAGACAAATGCAAATTTAGAGCTGTGAAAAGGCAAAAATATGCCATCCTAACTGTATGTCATCATTGTGTGGATGGAAAAGAAGATTTTCCCTTTGGTAAGTGTTTGAATGATTTGTGACCAGCTGCTCTGTTCTAGGGCGTTGTTTCTTTGTGGAATAATGGGTGAGAGGTAATATGGGTATTTTTGTTGTTTTTATTAAGATAAGGGGTGTGTGTGTGCGCGTGCGCGTGTGCGTGTGCGCGTGTGAGTGTGTGAGTGTGTGTGTGTGCGCTGTATTACAGGCTGGCTGTTGTCGGGGACAGACCGAGCCAAATTGGCACCAAGAAGGGAAATTGCCTCTCTCCTTTTCTCTGGAACATTTCTCTTAAAGGGGCATTATGGAAGTCTGACAGCCAAAACATGTATAGAAATAATAAATGTCTTCTTCATACATTCTCCTGCAATGCCCTGGTCCTGTAGAATGAGCCCTGGCATTTTTACTGTGATTGCCTGTTTTTCTGTAAAATCACAGAAAAAGAGAGATGCTCGGGTCGAGCAGGCTGCTTCATGCGCGTTCACGCTCAGTCATAGCCCGTAGCATTTGCTATCCGTAGCTTTAGCAGCAGAGAGAGAGGCAGTTGTCGCTGTTCCTAACACCTAGTGACAAAGCCAGCTACATTTCTGAGGACCCTTGGCTACTTTCTATAGAACTTTCTTCTAGAAATTTCCTGCAAATTAGCAACAAAATAGCCATTTTTGCTCCGAACCGTTCTTTGAACGTTTCAACTGTCATCAAGGATATAAATGTTACAGATAAAATGTATGTCACTGGTGTTTTAGCTCACATAGTAAGATGTCAGACTCTCGTGTAGAAGATCTGGGTTTGATTCTCGATGAGAACATAGTTTATTTAGAGTTTCTTTTTTACATTAATGGGATATTTTTTTACAGTAAGATGCCCACATTTTTATTTGAGACTCGCCGAACGGCATTGAATTCACAGATAAAAAAAGATGTGGGTTCAACTTTTCAAACAAGGGAAGGGAATGATCTGAGCATGCAGGAGGACTGACCCATCATAAACCTTTGTCGGCTGTGCTGAAGAGAAAGGTACAGAACCAAATTATTTAATTAATTAGCTGCACGTTCTCCTGTATAATTTTTATGTACTTAATGCTGATATGGCAGTGGAGAAAGTCTTTGTCAAAGGCTTTGCTAGTTTTGTTTACTCATGGTTGTTATTAATAACTTATATTATATTATATTGTAATATTTTAATTGAACCTAGATGAAAACACTAAAAATAAAATGCTGTCCTGTATTAAAAACAAACAAACAAACAAAACTGCCAACTGAGGGGTCCATGAGCCGTACAGCCATTCTGACCAAGTCTGGATATCTGAACCACAGAAGTGCTTTAACTTTAGATGTCCTGCAGCAAAGTTTTCAGTTTTGTAAGCTGCACAGTGATTGATGTCTGTAGCTGTGCTCTCCTTAATATGTTGCAGTCTCAGATATCTCTTATCTTTTCCAACCTTTAGGACTTTTGAAGAAAAATGTCCAGAAGGGAGCGTTCATTTCATGAAAGGCTTATCAAGATGCGTTGAGTGGTTTTATGAGAAAGGAATGTACTCTATAAGTCCACTCCAGATGTTTCTAGGTTTATTATTCTTTGTCTTTCTGTTTTCATTTTAGTCGAAATTCTTTTGTAGTTGCATCAATTAATGCCTTCCCCAATCAATGTTTATCTTTGGGGTATTTGGGTAGTCCCTGCTAATTTCCTATTTATAGGTTTTATTTCCCTTCTGCTTAAGATATGTTTGAGATGATTTTTTATAAGATATAAAATAATGTGATTTCAAAAATGTGGCAGTTTAAGTTTATTCAGCCCACATTGTTTAAATAAGTCTCCCCTTATAGGGGCATTATGGAAGTTTGACAGCCAAAACATGTATAGAAATAATAAATGTCTTCTTCATACATTCTCCTGCAATGCCCTGGTCCTGTAGAATGAGCCCTGGCATTTTTACTGTGATTGCCTGTTTTTCTGTAAAATCACAGAAAAAGAGAGCTGCTCGGGTCGAGCAGGCTGCTTCATGCGCGTTCACGCTCAGGCATAGCCCGTAGCATTTGCTATCAGTAGCTTTAGCAGCAGAGAGTGAGGCAGTGCCACTTTGTCGCTGTTCCTAACGCCTAGCGACAAAGCTAGCTACATTTCTGAGGACCCTTAGCTACTTTCTGTAGAACTTTCTTCTAGATATTTCCTGTAAATTAGCAACAAAATAGCCATTTTCGCTGTTTCAGCTGTCATCAAGGATATAAAAGTTACAGATATGGAGGACGCCACTGGCGCTTTAGCTCACCTAGTAAGACGTCGTACTCCTGTGCAGAAGACCTGGGTTCGATTCTGGATGTGAACATAGTTTATTTAGAGTTTCTTTTACATTAATGGTAATTTTTTACAGTAAGATGCCCAAATTTTTATTTGAGACTCGCCGAACGGCATTGAATTCACAGATAAAAAAGATGTGGGTTCAACTTTCATTTTGGAACAATTTTTCAAGCAAGGGAAGGGAATGATCTGAGCATGCAGGAGGACTGACCCATCATAAACCTTTGTCGGCTGTGCTGAAGAGAAAGGTACAGAACCAAATTATTTGATTAATTAGCTGCGCGCTCTCCTGTCCTCTGTCCCCCCCCCACCCACTCCCCACCGCCCCACCACACACACACACACACACACGTGAGTGTCTCAGCTGTTATTTTTGTTAAGGAGTGTGCACGTACAGCATGCGCGCCTCGTGCACGAGCCTACTATTGAAGCTGCCGTTACGCTTTTGGCCTGAGGGAGCAATCGCGAGCATAAAAATTCAAAACTCCGTAAAGTCCCTTTAACTTCAGTCTGAAGACAACTTCATAGGGGCGTAAATAAGACCGTTGTGTCTTCCTCAAAACTGATGAAACAGTTCACATATACTTAAAATTCATGCTGGAGTTGAGTTTACTTCCCTCCAACACAAATGTGTTTCTGTTCTTTAGAAGTTCACTATTACGAAAAACAGAAAAATGATATAATTTAATAAAAAATTATTTTTTCTTGTATGACTAACCTCAAATGTTCTGCATCCACACATCAACCAGACATCCAATGTGATTTGTTTCATAAATGTTTGTGTGTTTCTGCTCAGGTGTTGCTAGCTGGTCTTTATGTGGGGTTGTAAATTATACAGTTACAGGAAAAAGTATAAAGTTTCCAAGATTGACTATATTTTCTATAAACACACTCAACAAATACATGAATGGCAGAGTGACAACACTGTGAACCTTGGACCTGAGTCGAATCACTCCTTTTTAAATTAACTTTAACAAATATAAAGCAAACTATATTTACATACCAAAGCCAGTTCAGCCTTATGCACACACAGACGGGTGAGTTTCCTCTTTTGGGGGGATTGCACAGAAACAAAACAAAAGTCCAGATGATCTCATAAATTAGGTACTGAATTGAACAAAGTGTATCTTCCACTGGTAGAAGATTCCGCAGACAATATAACTTTATATTGCTACTTTCTGTTGGTCAGTGTTGGCTGATCAAAATGAAAGTCATGCTTTACAAAAATGGCAGTTTCCCTTTATTATATACCAGACAAGTAGAGTGATATTGGAGGACCTCTGGAGGAATGACAGCCCAGCCTGGTAGGTGGTGAAGAGCAATTCCTCAGCAGAACTCTAGTCATTATGGTCTGGCCATAGAAGCATGTCCTGGTCTGTTTCTCAACTGTCTTTTACAATAGCAGAAATCACAATTCTGCCTTTTATATAAATTATTTATTAGCAAAGTGTTACGTGTAAGACACGGTGTGATTTAATGAAATCATAGATTGGAATCTCAGTCTATTGGTCGAATCATGAGGCGAACACACTTGAGAGAATAAAATCCTCCCCCATAGTCCGCCCAGAAGATCCCGTCTTGAAATTTGCTGCGGTAAACTCCCCCGCTGTACCAAACTCCATTCAAATTGGTCTGACCACAAGCGTTATACCACCAACCGCCCTTGTGGTAATGGGCACAGTTACCTAAAGAGAAGACAACACCATCAGACAGCAGAACCAGAGTGGCTTCTGAAGGTTATTTCATCAGAAGAATCACCTACCAGAGAACGTGTCCTTATCACGATCGAGTGTGGTGAATGCTTTGCCGTTGTTACTGCTGAAGGAGTCTCCAGCATTTCCTTGGTAGGTCCCGAGCCTCAGCTTATAAGCCTCGCTCTCTGACTCCAGGTGGAAGCTGCTGTACTCGGCGTACACTTTCTTTCCTGCCCAGTCTTCCAGCTCTATCATCAGCCTGTAGTCACCCTGCTTTGCCAAGTTGAAGATGTTCTGCAGCCCAAGCCAGTGCTCCCCATCTATGTTGCCAAACCCTTTCTGTGGAGAACAAGAACCCCCAGGTCTTCAGTTGTGGATTACATTTAAATGTCACAGCATTTAAGTTTTCCATTCATTCAAGACAATAAGCAGTGCTGTGGTTTTGTAAATAACTGAATGCTGAGATATTTTTACTATGTTGTCAGCATATACCTGTGTCCAACAAACATACCAAATCAGAAAGAGATTAATGACCAAGTTTTATTGAGGCTGGTGCTTGTAATCAAGTAACCTGAGATCAAATCTGCTTCCTACTTGGATGATTATGTGTTGGAGATGCAATCCGTGACTTCTCACTTAACCTATTAGGTAACTGGCTGAATCAGTGGTGACTTGGCTGAGGCTTGAAGGAGAGTTGAGTACAGTAATTGCAAAGCTACTCACTTTTGTCCCTAATCCAGTTTACAACATCTAGTTATGTCCCTCAGGGCAAAGTCTTGATTTCCTTTTCTTCTTAAAAACAAAAAATAACATTGTAATTTTTCTGTGTTTTAATTTGTGTCATTTCCTGCAGATTGCAACAAACTCTTCTTTTTTTCTCTCATAAGTTTCCCTCTCCTGGATCAAATCAAGGGAAATCAGCTGAGACAAAATAAATGAGTGAAGGAATAATTACTGATGGGGTTGAAAGTAGCCATTTTTTCCTCTTGGTTCTTTTCTAACAGCATATTTATATGTAGATCCCTGGATATGGCAGTTCCTGTCTTGCTTAGTGACCCTAAAATGAACTGCTGCAGATTAGGTCACTTGAGAGGATAAAAAGTAAAACTATTAAAAAAATTCTAAATATTGTTACTAATTTGCGCAGTAAAGCTTCAGTTTTTGTCTTGTATTTATCCTGTTGCATTTATTGTTTCATCATAACTTTACCTTGTAGTTTTCCCAGTTTCGAAAGAAGTTGACCGAGCCATCTCTCCTTCTTTGCAGTACTGTCCACCCTCCATTGTCCAGGCCATGTTCGCACCAGGCTTGTATCAGTTGCTCACTGTTATCCGTCTTAAGCAGGTACATACCACTGGTGGTGTAGCCCGCCTGCCGCACCTGGTAGCAGTCTTTAAAAGGACCTGGAGATAGGTAGATGGTTGTAAAACGTGTAGTTGACTTACATACATACTTTTATAAAGTCAACTACACTTGTATAGAAAATACCAAAAATATTTGTGGCTGTATATAGTGTCATATCTGCAGTTGGTGAGATCATCAAGACTTCCTGTTGTTTGAAGATATATTTTGATGCATAGATTTGGATTTGAATCTGGATCCCCGGTTATAACAAACTATTTGTAGCGTTATCTAAAACTGAAGCATATTTTCTTAGTTTGCCCTCTGTGTGAATACTTATTAAACCAGCATGAACAAAGGCGTTTTGGGGGTAGGAGATAGTAGTGCAATGCTTCCAAACAGAAATCCCAACCCTCATTATTCCTGTTTTTGTCCTGTGATGTCTTCAACAAATCTCATCCGGTCCTCCAGGTAAATGTTAAAAATATCAACATTACTTAGTGGTTTAAAGAGTGTTGCAGTAGACCAAACAGTGGTCAGGTGACGGGCATTTGCAGCTGTCCTGAATCTACATGGAAGAAAACCTTATATGGAGCCACAGTGGTTTGGTTTCACTGTTTGGTAAAAGGTGTATGACTACACACTCGACCACGGTTAAATAGGAGTACAGGAGATATATTTAAACAGTAAATTTTTATGCTTTTTACTCATCAAAATCCTTCCGCCCTACAATTTTACTTTCTGCAAATACTCGTCCGTGTCACCACATCCTACCTGTGTTTCTTTTTATTTCCACTTTGAAGCTACAAAGCATCAACATATTAGCCTAGTTTATATTGCTGTAGATTTATCCACCTATGTTATGTAATTATTCATATTTTTATGCTTTATTGATGATTGGTTTTGTTTGAGTTCTCTGTCAGAAGAGTAAAATAAATGTTTTGGACTAATTATAAATTGACATTTACTGAAAGTTGCTTAATTATTATAAATTGATTATTGTAAAAGTATAAGTTTCTTTTTTGAAACTTCCTCTACTCATAATCTTTAGTACTTCCCATGGGTCATATTTCTTCACCATGTTATTCTTCTTTAAGTACATGTACAGTCATTTATTGTCACTTTTTAAAGCCCAGTTATGGATGGTTTGAGCCATCTAGCTTTTAGGTTGTATAACCCTTGTCAACAGTCCTGGCCATAATTCAACCAACAGCTGACCCAAGTTTTAGGGAGAGTTTCCAGGTAGCATCTTAATGTAGCAAATTGGTCTCAGAGATGGTTATTTTCAGATCTCAGAGTAAACTCTGGAGAGTGCCCTCATCTAAACAATTCAATCTGATTGGATAGTTTTGGGTTGGAGTCTCGAGTCTTAATGGAGTGAATAATCCATCAGATTTGCTCATTGTTTCACTATATCTTGGTTCTGCTACATCTATAAATATAGTGATAATAATAGTAAACCCCAGTAGTGTCGCCACTCTAAAATGCCGTTCAGTGGTTTTCAAAGACGTCTAATCCACATCTCTAATATAATATAGTACATCTGCTCTATTGTGTCCAGCCAAAACAATCAGCCAAGTGGGGACGTAGGAATGCATGATTTCACTGTCTCAGTAGCATGCCAAGAAAAGCCAACAGTACTGACTGAGTGAATGGACTTTGTATTGCATCCTTTTGCTAATTGTACTTAAGTAGTTTTTACAGGAATGAGAATTTTTTTTGTGTATTTACTCCTGTTCAGCTTCCTCTTTGAATTTCAAAAAGTTGATATATTCTCCCATCACCCTGAGCTGTTGGTACGTACCGTCAGAGGTGAGTGTTCCCTGTGGTGGAGGTGGATCCATTCCAAAAGGACTTCTTGTGGGAGACTCTCTACGTGACGCTCTGGAAAAGGCCTGGTTCTTTGTCACAATTTCATTGGTGAAACGATTGTCAATTGGTATGTTCTCTGGCACCACCTGAACCAGCGGAGGGACTGGAGGCAGCTCGCTGCGCCCCAGCGTCCTCAGGCATTGCTCTTCCAGTGCAGAGATGAGAATTGACTGGTTGTTTACCACACCAGCCATTGTGGCAAATCGGGCTTCCAACTCCTTGTACCTGGAGGCCAGCCGCATCATCTCTGAGGTCACATTAAGGACGCGGTTCTCCAGCTGGACCAGCTCTAAAGAATTGTCTCTTTTCCTGATGATCTCATGCAGCAGCTGCATATAGAGCTGGGTCACCCTGGAGTTCATGTTCCTGCTCTCTTTCCGAAGCAGCTTCATCTCATTCACCAAGTTGCCGTCTACCTCTACCACCAGCTGCAGCGTCTCAATCTCACGCCGCTGTTTGTTGAGAACCTCCCGTACATCTGAAATGTCCATTCGGGTCACTCTGTCTTTGTCTGGCTCAGGGCCCGTGGTGCTGGCACAGATTGGACCTGATGACAGAATAGAATTATTTAGAAGATTAACAGGAAATGGGGCAATGCGTATCGTGTAGCCTTATTATGCTGAAGTGGTATTCCCTCTTTACCTGTGATTCTCTGCTCTGGTACTAGGAATGTGTAGGAACACTTTTTAGCATCAGTGTCCTGCAGAGCTCTTTTAGTCCTGAGGAGGGAAGGCTCGTTGACGCTCCGGATGTTCCTGGAGCTCCTGCAGTGACTTTCTTCCCAGAGAGAAAGACAGAGTAGAGCACACAGGCTCCAGATCAGCCCCTGCATTCTGCTGGTGGGCCTGATGGACTGATGGGCAGCTACTGGGACTCCCTCCAGGCCTCCCTAAAAGAGTACAAGACCATCCCTGTTAAGGACACTTTGACCAACAACATTAATATTAGCAAAACAGTTTATTCAATGCTTCTCCACCACAAACGTCCCTCTTAAAATGTAAAGAAAACAGTATTGGATTTTTGTAGTGTTCAGTAGCAGATTGTTGCTCTGTATAGTTTTTCTGTGGAAAGAGTGGAATAAAGGAGCTTTTCTATCAGCCAGTTGGACGAGGTCTGCTTTCTGTCAGATAAATTCTCAGCTGACACACACCCCTTTTTTCTGTTGGTTTCCCACTAATCAGGACTGTTGATTAGAAGCTTGGGCTAATCTTTGATATCTGGCCTTACATTTACATTCTCTTTTTTTTTAACAATAGCATGAAAATGGTCTTTTCTTAAAGGGCAAGTCACATCAAAATCAACCTTTTTTTAGCTGATAACTAGTATAAATGATTGTCTAATAGTTTTGTAGACATGTGTAGTTATTATTTTTGCATTTGGTAAATGGTAAATGGCCTGTATTTGATATAGCGCCTTCTAGAGTCCTGGAACCTCCCAAGGCGCTTTACAACACAATCAGTCATTCACCCATTCACACACACATTTACACACTGGTAGGGATGAGCTACAATGTAGCCACAGCTGCCCTGGGGTGCACTGACAGAGGCAAGGCTGCCGAGCACTGGCGCCACCGGTCCCTCCGACCACCACCAGCAAGCAACGGGGGTTAAGTGTCTTGCCCAAGGACACAATGACAGCGACAGACTGAGCAGGGCTCGAACCAGCAACCTTCCGATTACGGGGCGAGCACTTAACTCCTGTGCCACCGTCGCCCATTTTGATGCAGTTTCTTTGAAAACTCTAAATTCTGTCTAAAAACGTCAGTCTAGCGCCCTCTTCAGCTCAAAAGTATAGAACACGTTTATTTTGAGTCGGTTTTAGCCAATGGCTAACGGGAACGATGCTACGTATTTTAGAAAAGTACTACGTAGCAGCTCTGTGGCTGTAGGTTATAAAAGCACCGCGGTCTCAACCAGCCTTGTAGCACTCGAGGCTCGGATTAGCCAAAAGTGAGTTGTGCTGTTGTTAGCATTGTGTCAGGGTCCTAGCAAAACTTCTAGTATTGTAATTATTTAGTTCTAGTAGCTTGGCTGTTAGATTGTAGTTTAGTGTTTTTTTACATGTGACTCTTTCACCAACTTGATGGAGTTTAAACCAGGTTATGCTGGTTCGAAGAGCATTTCACAAATTAGTCCAAACCGTTCCAGTAATTAGCCAGATCCCGCCGACTGCTCTTTTGATCTGATCAGAAGCCCCTGAACTTGTTATGGTACCAGACTTTAGCTCTGCCATCTCATACACCCTCATGTAAAACACTCTGACCCCAAATTCCAATGCAGCTTCATGTGAGTCGAATTAAAAATACCAACAGAAATGTTGGTAGGAGGTAGTATTTATGTTTCACTTAAAAAGTTTTACAAACACACACAGGCTGGCAGGCACCTCAGGGGTGTTCTGGCTCTTGGAGAGTACAGACACTTTTTTCCTCCTCTCCTCCCTATCTTATCCCAAGGCTCTTGTCTGTCTTTGGGTGTACGGCGCTTCTGCATTTTTTCTGGAAACTGGAAATTATTAAAAATGGACCTGGTCAGTTGGTCTCTCAACGCGATTAACAAAATTTTTTCAACGATAAGAACGGGAGAAGGGGCTCCCGGATGCCCCGCTGGGACAGAGCCGGCTAGGCATATCGTGGACTCCTGGAAACAGTGGAACCGGATCTGCCTCTCTCAACTGTCTGTAGAGTATTCTGAAGACGTGGTGTTGGTGTCGGGTTTCTTGCTGTTTGGTCTGAGCGGTTGCCTGGCTTACCGGAAAATTAATTCAATTCAAAGATACTTTATTTATCCCAGAGGGAAATTAGAGTTTCAGTACACACAATTCTGAGATCAGAGATACATAGGCAAAGACACATGACACATGACAAGAATGGGTGACTGTGGTCATTCGCAACCCGAGTCGCGCTACCTTAATAGAGATCAGAGGGTTTACATGAGGATTGGGTCAGGTGGAGAAAAAAAAGGCACTTTAGAGTTACCCTCCACAGGGAGGGCAGCTTTGCTATGCAAAAAACACCTCAGACAGAAATGCAACAGACTTCAGACATAACACAACATAAGTGTCCACTAGGTGGGGTGGTAGGGTTGGGGACTCTCCACACATCAGTGAATGCAGCCGCGATGAGCAGCGCTCGTCACCTCAGTCAGGTCGTTGGGTTTAGAGAGCACAGTGACTCCTGGAACGATTCAGCGGCCTTCACAGCTCGCAGTCCCGCCCAGGCTGGGATAGGGAGACATAGTTGCCATGAGCTTTTGAGGAATATTGGCTCAATCCCGGAGCTCAGGGATGGATTACACCTCGCTGTGAACGCACACACTCATATAATTGTCGAGATAAGTCGTAAACTTGGAACTTTGGCGGAGATTCAGGCTCTGGTACAGAAGATGGATTCGATCAAAGAGAGAGTTGACGGATCAGCGCGGTTGGGAAGAGATTAATTTATGCCATTATTGGATCGAGAGGGGTTGGAGACCAACAGAACTTTAAGACAGAGAGGAAATTATCTCTGTCTGGCCCCAAAACAAGTTCTTATCTGAATCTGGTGCCCTTGAGCCAGTGAGGCTGAAGTGTTTACTCCCCTCGGAAGAAATGTGGAATGCTGCCGTCGCCATGGCAACTCTGTCTCCCTATCCCAGCCTGGGCGGGACTGAGTTTCCAGGAGACACGGTGCTTTCTAACCCAATTTCCTCCCTCCCCTGTCCAAACGGAGGTGACGTGCGCTGCTCATTGCGGCTGCATGCACTGATGTGAGGAGAGTCCCCAACCCTCCTTCCCCACCTAGTGGACACTTATGTTGTGTTATGTCTGAAGTCTGTTGCATTTCTGTCTGAGGTGTTTTTTTGCATAGCAAAGCTGCCCTCTCTGTGGAGGGTAACTCTAAAGTGCCTTTTTTTTCCTCCACCTGACTCTATCCTCATATAAACCCTCTGATTACTATTAAAGTAGCACGGCTCGGGTTGCGAATGACCACAGTCACCAATTCTTGTCATGTGTCCATGTCTATGTATGTATGTCCGATCTCAGAATTGTGTGTACTGAAACACTAATTTCCCTCTGGGATTAATAAAGTATCTTTGAATTTAATTTGAATGAAGCAAAGAAGAAAAAAATCTAACTGTTCAGATATCTGTTTTCTGTGGGCTAAATGTGGGTTTTGGGGCTTCAGTCTTTACAGATTGTAGCTCTGTCTCACTGCTGTAACCCGACCTGTTTTAGGACAGGGCTGTTGTTCTTTTATTTTCTGTTCACAGTCGCTCCTTTCCTCGATGGCATATCATTGGGCCTTACCTCCACCCTGAAACCGTGGCCCTGTGCGTCTCTCTAATGACGCCATTGTGGTTCTGGCAGTTATGTCATTTGGAACATTGTTTGTCAGGGACAGGATTACAGCTAGGTCTGCAGTTCACTTGTGTGGGAGCGTGCGGTCTTTATGTTGTATTGTGTAAGCTATTTCCTTCTGCATGATTAAGTACTGACTGTCCAGAAATTTTATTAATTTTCATGGTTGAGAGAGCTTTTTTTCCAGCCGTCTGACAGCAGAACCAGGTACTGTATCCTAGCTGACCTCAGTGGGAGCTTCTAATGACTTTACCAGCAATATCACTTTCCACTGTGTCCTCTCTTAAACTAAGGCTGCATTTGCATGGTTGCTAGACAAAGACAAGTGTGTTAACATTGTTACAGCTGCAACTCATCCGTTTGCTGCTACAGGACTTGTTTGTCCTTCATATCCTACTCTTTTCCATCGCTCCTGTCTTCCTGAGTGATTACTACCAGGGCAGTTTGCTCGGAGTATGAAGCCAAATGTTTTTGATGAAACCATAGCATATCAAAGACATTCCAGACACTGTGAGGTCACTTTACCTTTACATAGTTTACATGGTTTCCCCAGAACAGCCAGAGATCTTTTTAATTAATAATTCATCTTAACAAAAACCTGCCCACCTATCTCACAGAAATATGTTTTCCTGTAAATATATCACATCACTGTTGCAAATATTAGAAATTTGAATGAAATTCCTTGCGTTTGACTTTAGTAGTGCATGGTATAACCAGTATACGGTTGATATGATATAAATGTAGCCACTGGTAGAGATTTTCTCTTCATCTTCATTCATCTTATGACAATTTTTGTGTTGCATTGTTTGGAAAAAGCATCTTAAAAACATAAAAATCCTTTGAGATGTTTTGTATTTTTTAAAACAGGTTTTGAACATTAAACGTAATTTAAAGGTTCTATATCATGCTATTTTAAACCTTTGAGAGCAAAGGTAGGCAAAACACCACCCACCCAGACGAAATGTACCTGCAAGAGCGTCTTGGAGTGTGTTGCTATGATAGTTCAGAGGTTAAGACGTCTGTCTGCCGTCTTTGTTTTGCCATGTGCTGACGAGGGTTAGAATTCTGGTGGTGTCAGTAGTAATTTATGTAGCCAGCTGAAGCAGATTTCATGTTTTTATATTTTAGTTTTATTGATTATTTTCTGGCAAATATCTTGTGTTTCTAAACATTTTTGAATTTGGTCATTTCTAAGCAGCATTTTAGTTGATTTACTATGCACACCTCATATGGACTCATACTGGCTAAAGAAAAGAAAAAAAACATTAGTCCTTAAATTTTAAACAATTTACCACTAAAGGGTTGAGAACATACTGGTAAGTGTAGCTAAAAAAAAGAAGAAAAACAGTTACTGCTCCGACTGAGATGGGAACCTGTGCAAAAGGGCATCTCAGCCCAGCGCTCTAAGCACTGGACTACCAAGTCTGTTACCTGACAGCAGACGTATCCTGTGCTGGGCACAGGAGGCAGGTTTCAAACCCCAGATCAGATTCATCAGAGGAGTGGGGCCTGGTCCCAGGAGGCAGAAAATGGAATGACATACAAGTTTTACATCAGTCTGTTTTCATGATTTTCAAAGTAAAATTCTATATTTGCAGCTGAAACAAGAAAATGCATGAATGCAGCCAAAAATGGGTCTTTTACATAAAGTAAACAACAATAATACCACATGCTAAACAGCTCTAGAAAGTGGATTTTCCATTATATGGCCCCTTTAAATGGCATTCTACACTTTGTAGAAATATTTGTTCTGCTGCAATTGATCTGGTAGGTGAGAACTTTGACATGCATACACAAAAGAAAATAATATATTATGACATTATCATTATCGCACGTGCTTCAAAATATATTGCAATATAGATTTTGGGCCATATTGCTCAGTCCTATTTGGCTTTTGAGAACAAAGTGAGAGATTCTGTTTTCCCCGTCTTTGTACATGCAAGTGTGAGGACCTGACTTGCATCAGCAGAGGCTGCAGTGGAAACTGCTGCAGTGAACATCTGGTGCGTTTTAGATTCAGCATCAACAGGCTGAAGATGCATGTCCCCACATACCTGAAAAACACCAACGTGGTGTTTTCTGAGAGTGCTGCACTTAATCTTCTTGTCGTGCATTCACCTTTATTTTAGCTTACAGTAGAAATGTTCACTTTTGTTTTTAATATATTCAAATTCAACAAGCAAAGTAAAACACAGAATTGGTTTGAAAGCAAGAGTTCACGTTAGTTTTTTGGATATGCTGTCATGAAAGACAACTGTATAACTCGCAAAGATTAGCTGTCTTAATCTACATTATTAAATGCTTAATGGCACCATCAGGATGTGCCTTAGAGGAGCACAGTTATGCTTACAGCCTCTGCAGGGACTGCACATACACATATGGAGAGCTGCAGGCCGAAAGGCAAAAACAGTACTTGATCTGAAACGATGCTGTGGAAAGTAGTAGAGTCAAGGTAAAAGCAGCAGTGATGGAAAATGGGTCATGGCCTTTTTTTCCATCCTGGCCTGAAGTCATGACTAAACTTAAGGCAGAGACTCAAGGAAACTGCTCCCATTCACTCACATTTTTCTGGCTCTAGTTTTTCATCTAATGTGTTTAATGTGCAAACCAACCCCTCTTTTATTTCCTTTTTTTGAATACTTTTCTTCCTCTTTGCCGTATTTTTTATTTCTCTCTTCAGCTACGTTTAGCAAAGACTCAAGGAAGGCATGCGCTGCAAGTTGTGCACCAAAGACAGGAAGCTAAAACTCACTGAAAAATGATTAGATTTATTAAATGTCCTGTTGGCTTGGTTTTACTGACAAACAGCTTATTTATTTTTTAATAATGTCCATGTGCAGTCAGTGAAATATTACATGGGAAAAGTGATATGCAGCAGTTAACATAGCCTAGCCTGTGTTTTGGCAACACTTCTGAACATAGAACATCTTCTGTGTTGCTCCTCTGGGTCTTCACTCCCCAATAACTCTTAATTGTGAGAAGATGTGTCTTTCTAATGACTCTCTCATATTCTTTTCCTCTGTACTTTAATACACTCTGTTTGATTCCTTTGTTTAAACTGAGTTTAAACATCTTTCCGAGACAAATGTCTGTAGCTCTGACTGTGATTTATCGTTTCTGTTCATGGGGTTCGCATTTATGATTTCCTGATAGAGATGAGCCATCCATCTGTTAACAAACACCACTTTGGCTTGTGGTTTTAATGATAATTTAACTTTGGTGTCATATTGACAGACCTCTGGACGGCTTTACACAAACACAAATACCTTGTTTGTCTCTACACACGTCTACGTTTCCTCCATCTCTTATTCACATCCCATAAACAAGAAGCGATGAATAGTCACGTCACATAATGTGACTTTATCATTCTGCTGGTGACAAATAGTCCAAAGATGCAATTAAAATGTGAATAATTAGGTTTATCCAGCACTGGTTTTGAGTTCAGGATCCTGTTTTTGCCTGAACTCCTGGATCCGAGCAGCCTGGCCAGCCATCCTATTTAAGAGAATTTATAGTCTGGCCACGATCCATTGACGGCTCTCAGTCAGGATCTACGGTTGTCTTTCAAACTGTTCCCACGTGCTATTGGGTAATTACCAACATGACGTACTCACCGCTACAGATGTCAGTCAACAAGGCAGTCCGTCAAAAAAGATGCAAATACATTATTTTTCTAAGTGAACTCAAGTAACTCCATCTGCTCTCAATTCAAAGAAAAGTCCAAGTCAGAAAAGTCCAAAGTTGAATCCAAAGCCATTTCAAACGAGCTGTTGGGTCTTGTTTTTTCAGTAACATCCCGCCTACAGAGTGCTGTGATTGGCCCATCAAACCAATAGAGCGCTGTGATTGGAATAGTACGGATGTTAGTCTATTGGGCAGTCCGCCATTACATCATGGAAGAACTACATAAAACATGAAAAAACACGAAACAATACATTGTTTTTCTAAATGAACGTGCTTTGATTTTTCTGCCACAATACTGGCCGGGCTTTCGGAGGTCCTACACTGACACGCAAAGCAAAATCATTTTGCTTCAGCAAAGGATGGTCTAGATTCTTGGCTAGGATCTGAGTTGAGTGGGTTTACATAAAAAAAAACCTCTGAAAATGATCATCTACAAGGACAGAAGAGATTTAAAAATCAGCCAGAGTCTAAAGAAAAGAAAACACCTCTAGAAAGTCTGAAGAGCTATTGATCAAGATCTATTTAAAGATTAAAAGATGGTTGGTTCATTATGGAGGCAAGTCATTAATAACTCTTCTCTATTTTATGTACAGTCTCTGTAAGTAATGACAAATAAATGATGTGCATAGAAAACAATTCAAATAAAACCAAACATGAAACCTTGATGAAAGAAACCTGTTCAACACCTAGGCTGATTCATGTCAGCAGGCTCAGATGAATGCATGTTCAGATTTAGTAGAAATACTAGTCTGGATGCATTTATCAGCCTATGAGACTGGCCGTCTCACTGCTAGAAATATGTCTGTGTTTGTAGGTTTCTGTGCTCAGGGTGTCGAGCTCTCCTGCAGTGATTTACCATTTCTGATGAGTCAGTCTGCAGCCTGATGGATTGCAGTGAGTGGGAACCATAAACTTGGATAAATTTTATTTGGACTTTAAACTAAACGTATTTCCCAGCCACAAAATCCCCCGCTTCCACCCCTCTATCTGTTCTTCAGACTTTCCCACAAGAAGTCCAAAAAACCCTGAAACACGCAACACATCAGGACTTGTCAGAAAAAGGGCAAATACTGGAAAAACGAAATGTAGAGGAGCAAAAGAACCGGAATCAACATTGAAGCAGCAAAAATAAACATTAACGTGGTCTTACATAACCACATGGATGTTAGCATCACTGCTTCAACGAGCAAATTGCAGGTTACATTTTTTTTCTAATTCATATAAAATACTGTCCAAAAAATACTACTTAAAAAGCTTATTGTGGATATTTCGTTTTAAAATATGTAACAGCAGAGTTTCTCTAGTAGAAAGTGACCTTTCTCAGCAAAACTTCTAAAAATGCTCTTTTTTCTAAATCTGAACCTCTGATGTAACCAAAGGGAGTTAGGAGCTCGCCGCTGCCTCAGCTCAGTGTGGAGAGAGGGTAGTTTTATGGTAGAGAGGTCATGTTATCCAGTCAGGGTGTGTGTTTACTAGTTGTGGATTGTGTTCATTTTGATAAACTAGAGTCTGTGAAGGCTGTACCAACTCCAGCGTGTCTGGACATCGAGTCCACGGGTTTCCAGACAAGCGAAACAACACCTCTATCTCCGTGCCGGAGGGCGTTTTGTGCAGCTGAGACGAGACTTCTGTAGCTCACATCGGTCGGTACCGGAACGGAGAGGTCCGGGCTGGGCTCCGGAGACCTGTGGCGGGGTTTAAAAAATTAAATGCGGATTTCTGGAGCTCAGATCACCGTCAGAACCAGGTCAGAACCGACCACCAGAAGAGGCGCGCGGCTCAGCGGGACAGCTGATTTCCAGGTCGGAACCGGATCAGAACCGCCACACCAGGAGAGGATGCGCGGCTTTTAAAAATACCAGTTCAACTGTCTCGCTCGTCTTTGGGTCAAATCCAGCTCACAGCAGCCCGCATGAGCTCCAGAACCGGATCACGGGCGTCTCTCTCCCTCCCACTAAGAGCTAAACTGTTACGTGCACAGCCAAAGGCTCCCCTCCTTCCTACTGACCATGATGTCACAAGTCATCACTTTGGTCCATAACTGAGCTAGCTACATTAATTCTCATTTCTGATTTATTTTTTTCTCTTATGCTAGCTTAAAGAATTAGTGACAAATGAACAAGAGGAACCGGCTGCAAATAGAGTGCAAATGAGACCCAAAGAGTAGCCGTAAACAAGTCTAGCACAAATAAAACAAAGAGAACAGCACACATGCTGGGAACCAATAAAAACGAGGACAAAACTCATAAATGCCTCCTTAACAAAACTGGAAAAACATTCCAGAGATCAAATAGTAATAATGTTTTAGGCCTGTTTATTACATGTTGCAAAGCCAACATCTGAGGGTGTAATCAGGGCAGAGGGTAAAGACCAGCAGTTATTCATTTCTCTAGTTTGAAATGAAATGAGACGTAAAACGATCCCGTTTAGACTGTTGGCGTGATCTCCTGAAGTCTCACTGAATGAAACTTGTCAAAATATACATTTAAATCAATATAAAACTCAGATAAAGTAATCATTAGATGTACATCAATAAAGGACATTTAGGTCAATTCAAGATGGCACCCACCCTTACACAATATAAACAAACTAGAACTGTTACTAGAACTGTTAGCCAATAATGATCTCCAACACACTGACTACTTGTAAAATGTTGGATTGTGCAAAGGCCAACTTTCAGGATTTGACCTAAAATGACTAAGTGAACCATTTCTCATCATAAACTGATGCTGGTTTTAAACTCTGGCTTAAAAGATGGAAGATGAAGTGCTTTCCTGAAACACTCAACTCTCTTCCTCTAACTGCACCCAGATTTACATCATTTATCTTTTCAAACACCAAAAATAGCAGAACCATATGGTTTTCATGAACAGTTACATCTTGAAATGAATTCAGAGTGTTAGATTTTAAAGGACCAGTTGGTGTTGAAGTGGCCTTGTGGTTAAAATATCAGGAACCCTCTCGAGGAAATGTTTTCTGTCTCCTGCTTTCTAGGCACCGAGTTGTCGGCCTTCACACCGTTTTATAGTAAGCAGCAAAAACCCCAAAGGCCCCGGAGGCCCCACTGGCCCCCATCCGTTTTGCTTCTTCTGTAGAGAAACTCTAAACATGTGGGCTGATGTTGGGGTCAGAGGTCTATATGTGGGATTAGTGTGCAGCCCCACCCTTCCTCTCCCGCACCCACCCGCTCATGGTCTCCACAAACCCTGCAGTCAATTGGTCTTTGTGTGAAGTGGATCCCCCCAGCCCCCTTTGGTTTTATGCACAGCACACACAAAATGGAAAAAAGTATTCACACAAAGTTCCTTTAAGGCCACCCAAACCGGGACTCGACCTGTTGACAGGATCCTCCATGCTTTCATTCTCTCGTGTTCCTGAATATATATTTTAATTCCTCTGCTTCAGATCTCAGCAGCATACATATATTCGTAAACAACTTTGTACCTAAATAAAGGGCTGCCAGGGGTGACAGGTGTTCTGTTTTCTAAATCAAACTGCTTTAGGCTGTGAACAAATCTACAACAAAGAGTTGGAGGAGAGTCAGGAGACAACGGAGAGCTAGGACGAGGGAGCATAAAAGATTTACGACGCTCCTCCTGGCTGGATATAGAGAATCTTCTGATTTAGGAGAAGACTCGTAACATTGTGTATGTTCTTTGTTGGTATTTATTCCTCCTCCGAGTCACACCTCACCTTAAGCTCCTGCGTCGGGTTACACATGTTTCCTATTAGCTGAATCAACACAGAAAAGCACATAAATTTGCTCAAACTGCTTTGCTCTCCAGTGCCCACTGGCTCTGCTCAGTTACTCGCCGCTACGTCTCGTGTGTTTATCCCGGCCTCTTGGCTGACCTCTCACCCCCTGGTGTGACCGGTCTGCTCAGCTGTGTCTAAGACCTCATTAAGGGGACTCAGAATGTGCTTAACAGGGTTGCTACAGGCTTTACTCTTCATTTAATATATCTTGGATAAGAGCTCTTTTTCTCCTTGTAGTTTTTAAAAGTTTGAGCTTTAAGCGATAAATGTTGTCCACGCTGTTTTCCTCTGGGTGGTTCAACCCTATTTAATCCATTTAGGCCATTTTTCTTAGCTTTTTTAGGGTGTTACACATATCAGATCAGATGAGATGTTTGAAACTCATTTGCCTTTAAAGGGTTGGTACACACTGAATGATAAAATGTGATTGGATGCTTGCTTGTTACCCAAAACCCACAGCTGGTTGATGCTAGCTGGATGAGTTATTGGAGTCTGGCACAGGTCAGCTGGAAAGTGCTCTGCAGTTTGACAGCTTCCTGATTGCCATTTATTGGATGGTTCTGGAAGTTTAAAAAAACTTCCCAGAAAAATGTGTCAGTCACAGGTGGAAGGTTAAGAGAATAGTTGGATTATGTGTTTGGATTGGTCGTAATGACCCGTTTTAAGTCTTCTCACCTGCCCAACCCTCTTTTCCTCCAGGCTCAGATGAGCCAGAGGACCGATCGCTGGCAGACCAGCCAAGAACGTTCTGGACAGCTGCTCCTGACTCCTCTTTATCTTAAGCTTTCTCTTCTGTGTTCCAGCCTGAGTTATTGATATCCTGATTTATTACTCGAAGGGAAAAGTGAGGAAGCCTGTGAAATGTTTTCTTAGCCTTTTAGTTCAAACTATTCCCCCCCCCGAAGCACCGGTGCGTGTCTCTCGTGGTCGGTTACAGCATTCACAGATGTGGCTCGGTAGAATGTTTTCCACAGATCCGACCAACACACCAGGATGTTAGTGGAAACATTTGAAGGCATTTGTGACTTGTTGATATGGAAGCTCACCAGACTGATGCTTTTAGACTTCAAAGCACTTGCTGCCACAGCAAGGTTGTGACTCAAGTGTCTCGTCTCCAGCAGGCTGTGCATGAAAAGGATATGACTAGGCTAAGCTTGGAGTGTCTTATCAACACCACCCAGCTTCCTTTTAAAGGGGCCGTGTGCTTTCCTTTAAGCCCTGAAAGCTGCACTGCGTCCCAGTTTGTGTCACATAGATGATCACGTGTTTAAAGTCATGTCACCTTCTCATAATGATCTAAAACCAGCTCCTTCCCTCCACCTCTCTAAGCTTCATTTCAGTTTGTTGAATTGGGAAACCTGAACTCTCCCCAAAAATATAAACATTCCTGCTGCCAGAGATCAAATCTCTCCATCTGATCCAATCATCCTCTCTCGCTGGAATGCCCTTCTCTCACTTTTTCTTCTCTCTCTAACTTTCTGTTTCTCTTCAGTCTTGTTGTGGTGAATTCCAGAGAGCATTCAGTACTTTTAAGGCGTTCTGGCTTGAATGTGAAAGAGTAAAAACAACTGATTAAAGATTGCTTCTTGTTTGATCTGGCTGTGTCTGGTAATCCTTCTTTTGTAACCATGGCAGTGAGACTAAAGAGGAAAGCTGGAGATGTGTTGTTGCCTCTGCATCCCAATGCCTCAGCCAGAGCTCTCACAGCTGTCCCTACATTCATGCATGCTCTCTGCACACACACACACCACAAAACAATATAAAACAGACAAAAGTTGACAAACTTTTACCTTCTTTCTGACACCAGTAGTGATGTTTTCCTGCAGTTATAGTTTCACGCGTGTGTCGTGTTGTTTCTTCATTGAGCTGCAGTGCTCAGGACTCATCTCGCTGCCTCCTCTTTGTCCCAACGCTCTCAAGGTGCTCCCCTCAACCCGCTCCTCCAGTGTGTAGCTGTGAGTCACAAGGCTTTAATTAAGGCCCTGCTTCACAAAGATGTGTCTCTTCGTAGTCTCAGTTGTCCTGGGGCTCAGGCCGGCGCATGGTTCAAAAGCCGGCCACTTCAGCAGTCGGTGCTCCAAACACTCGTGCCTTCAGTTTTTCACAAGGGATGGGGGAACTTAGAGGAGGGAGGGGCAGGAGGAAGAAGGGGGATGAGGGTGTGGGAGTTGGAGATTGCTTCTTTTTTTTCCTTTCATTTATTTTTCAGCGTTGCCCTGCCCACTCCTGATGTCATTCTAAAAGAACAGGATGTTAAATGAGAAAAACAGGGATGCATGATTACATAGTTACAGTAATCGTCACAACTCGCAGAACGAGGAAGTGGTTTGAGTAAACGGAGACCAGATCTGGTGGAGTTCTGAGTCAGCTGCACGAGCTGCTTTGACCCTCATTTGTCCTAAAGTACACCTTCGAGTTCCCCTCTATTTGTTATGGCTGCCATCTTTAGCAACAAGCAGAGCTGTTTGTAATGCTGCTGGGCTTTTCTTTTGGGTGCGTTGCTGTCGAGAACAGCTGGACACCGAGACCAGAAGATAAAGCTGATTTGTGGTGCCATCGGAGCAGAATTCTTACTCCAGGTGGAGTCGGAGCTTCTTAGTTATTTGCTGCTGCCTTTTTTTATGACCGGTGCTGTTAACTTGTGTTTACAGGACAGACGTGATGTTTAAATTATCCTTGTTCAGACACGTTTCTGTAACCACATATCTTGTCCGATATTGATCCTCAGGGTTTTTCCACAGTTGCGATGCGTATAATGACCATGTACGCCGACCTCAGGATTTCTGAGAGTGAATCTGGGAGCTGATGGCTCAGGCAGTATGGATTTAGGCATGACTAACTGCTGGTATCCCTGACATGTTTGCAGAAGAGCAGCCATAGCGGTTAAGCCCTCAGGATCCCTCTCTTCCTCCTCTTCTCACCATCTCTCACATTCCCCTCTGCTGCCAAGCCTCTTACCTGCAAACTGCTTCTTATTCAGATGCTGGTATGAATGCACGCACAATTGCATGTTTGAGATCATTTTTTGAGAAAGTCCTGCAGTTTGTTCTACTGTAACTGAATGCATGCATGTCGTAGCACAGCAAAGAGGAGGGGGGGTGGATTTAATTTTCTTTAGTCTAATATGCGATAACTTTTCTGTCATCTGCTCTCAATCTCGACCCTGGCGTGAGAAAGAAACATTGAGCGAGTCAA